GGGAGGGAATCAGTCTCTAGCAGTTTCCTGGAGGTTCCTGTCATTTGGCTGGCCCCTGTCAGCAATAGCAACAAAATTACAAGGATAGCTAGTTTGATGAGTGACAGAATTGAATCAGCAGGTGTTTACAGCAAGTTGCAGAGAAGGCTGGAAATGGACAAAATGACAACTAGCTGCTAATAATTAGCAGGGTTAAGCTTGAAATCCTGTGTGTGTGGCCAATAATTAATTACAGGAGTATCAGAAAGGGTGAATTTTGCTTGGTATCAGTTTGTGGGGAAAAAGCTTTAAAGGAAAAGGAGTGGTAGCAAGAAATGATTATAAAGTCAACTTGAGCCAAAGGGTCAGGGCAATGGGTAAATTTGCTAAGGCAATAGTCTAGTGTACTAATGGATGTAGAGAGTCAGATTAAGGAAGGTCAAAGTCTCACTGTACTCTGGTGATCATATCATACCTGAGTGTTTTAGGGGGTCACATTTTGGTTGCAAGGAACAGAAACCCGACTGGGAAGCGAAGGTACTGGCCTTCAGGGTATGCTCAAATGGTGCCCCTCCTAGATCTCTTTAACAGGCCAGTGCACCTATCCCCCAGCTGCTGTGAGTGTTGGCAGCTAAGGGTTCTCAGATGCTCAAAATTCCAGGAATTGCCTTCAGCTGAAGGGAACAGCTTTGGAGACCTTAACTCCTTGATGGCTTACAGCCAGTGGCTGGCTGATACTTGGGTACACAAAGCTGCCCAGTGCCTCATGGGGGAATGACTCCTTGGTGTGGTTTCATGCCAGAGCTCTCTGTTGTGGATCAGGCCAAGGCAAAATCAAGCTGATTCTTGCTTGGCTGTTTCTTTTTTCCTGTCCTGCTCAACTTCCTCCCTTACAGGTTTTTCTTCCTTCAATAAGTCCCATTCACCAGATCTCCCTTACAGGCTCTGTTTCTAAGGATCCTGATGAAAGACACTTACAAAAGCAAATAGCCAGAAAATAGCTGGATCCAGGTTCTCAGAGTCATAACCTGCTGCAGTTTTTATCTGTACCTCAGCTCTGATAGTTTGTTTTCGTATTGATTTTATGTATTCTTGAGCAAATTCTTTTGTGGTCCTCCTGGTCAACTCCAGGGGATGAGCCGGACAGTTCAGCAGCCTCAGTGTAAAGGAAACTTCTCCATATGGGTAGTTCCAACAAAGTTCCCAGGATTCCTTCTGTTTGGACTGCCTTGGGCCACATGCCTTTCCCTAAATCAATCATCGCAAATGGGGGGTAGGGGTGGGGGGAAGGAAAGCAGTGCTTTGATTGGTCAGGACTGGCCTAGTGCTGCCCCTGGAAAGATGAATAGTAAGGTCAGCCCTATGGCAGCCATATGGACAGACAGTGGGGAGGACTGGTTCCCTAGAGGACATTAGGCTCCCCTTACCAGAAGAAAGAGAATGTTTGCTGGAAGGACAAAAATAACACATGTTCCTAATAGATCTTAACAAATTGAAAGATGCCACATGAAGTCATTAGGATAGTGGGGTGTATGGAAACCATAATCTGGCAAAAAAAGGTGATTTTTTTTTTATCCTTATTGTTTTGGGGATGGGCAGAAGGTACGGAAAAGGGGCATAATCTTTAAATATTTGGAATGTTGTCATGACGAAGAGGGATTAGGCATGTTCTGTGAAGCTTTAGGAGATGACATTAGAGCCCAGGCTCAGAGATTAGAGGGATGTAAATTATCCATAAGATATATTTGGATACCTTATATGCACACAGATACAAAATCATTACAATTTAAGTTGTCCAGAAAAAGAGCAGGCATATCTGAGAGGTGGTAAGCTTGCCATGCCTGGGCAGCTGGGAATAGGCATATCACTCTTACCATGACTAATAAAATACGCTTGTGCTTCCTTCTCACCTTTTCATAAAGGCTTTTTCATAAAGGCTGTGTCTAGATAGACATTATCTGGAATGCCCCACCCCCACCTTGTCTTAGGGAAATCTGCCGCACCCCAACAATTTCGAACCAGAGTACTTTTCCTCTGAGGTTCACCTTTGTGTCCTCTTGTTAATCATGACACCTGCGATATGCTGCATTGTAATCTTATCATATGACTTAACTCCCTCCAGTTTGGTGAAAGTGCCCCCAGGCCATAATTATTAATCTTACTGTGAGTATCAGTGTCTTCTTATTCAAGACATATTTGTTGAAAAAATAATTTTGCAGAAAGGTTTCTTGTCTTGGGGGAAGGTGTGTGACTAAGGGGCCACAAGGATCCTGCTCAACTTCAAGATTCTGTGATCAGCACATGGCACTAAACTTGAAGCTGACTTATAGATGAGTAATTGGGAATACCCAGGGCCACTTTGGCTTTTGCAGCTATTGGAGGAGAGAAGAGAGGGGATTCTCTTCTGCCCGTCCTCTGACAGTTACACCGATAGACAGTCATGGGAGACCTCTGGGGGAGATCAGGGAATCATAGTTAGAATTTACTCTGGAATGTAAAGTGAGTTGTCCCCTCTCAGTCTCTGTGCCTTGGCACTGCTCCTCCCCAAAGCTGGAAAAATGTCCCAGCTCCTTTCTGTCTCTGGCTACTGTTACTTCTCTCTTCAGCCCTGCTGAGCCACACCATCCCCAGGAGGCTTTCGGGAAAGCACTTCCCCCTCTTTTCCATCCGCCAAGATGGGAGTTACTTCTCCTTTTCTGGACTCCCTCCCATTGCGGGGCGAGGGGGAGCAAATGGCCTGCCTGCACCAAGGTACTTCCCACAGCAGACCTCGCTTTACTTTTTTCCCCTTTAAGTCTTGTTTCTCCTTGTGGAAGTCATAGACCAGGTCCATGTGTGGTCTCTGCGCCTAATGCAGGAGATCCGCGCAGACACACACACACACCCCTTTGCTATATGAGTGGATGCCAGAAAGAGTAGGATATCAGCATTTTAGAATTTTACAATTGCAAGAGCCTTTGGGAGTCACCTAATATCACCCTCCCTTCTACAGATGCTCTTCCTGGAGTCTCCTGAGGGAAGATTTCGGGTTCCTTCAGCCCCTTTTCTTCTCGAGGCCCAAAGCACTTTTGCTGTTGATGATCTCAATATTCGAGGTACGTAGGGAAGGGCAGGTAGGTGTCAGTAGCCTCCCTTTTCCCCTAAGGGAAACTGACTCAGAGAAACGAGGGGACGGGCCTCGGTGGCGCGGGGGCTGTAACGGGAATTCAGGGCTCCGGGCCAGTGTGGAATTTATTGTGCCTCCTTTTGGGAAGCGTGAAGGTGAAGTAATCGATTTACGAGCCCCCGGCGGACCCTTTAGCCCCCTAGAAGGATCGAGACGGGTCAGGAGGATTAATGCAGTTAAGAGCTCACGGCATTGACCCCTTGGCAACTTGGCGAGGTCCAGCCGATCCGCCGCCCTTCTCTCGACAGAGTGGCCAATGGGCTTCGGCCTCTTTAAGGCCCCAGCGCCCCGCCTCCGGCTCGTCGCCGACCTCCTCCCACCTCCTCGCCGCAGCTCGGCCAGTTCCAGACTTCCCTTGGCGATGAGGTCATCTTCTCGTTTCCCATTGGCTACGCCTGGCCGTCAGTCACAGGAAGTCCCGCCGCCGTCCTCACCTCCTTCATACCCCTCCCTTCCCGCCCTCCCTTTAGTCCCCTGGTCCCAGCCTCTACAAGGCCTCTGATTGGCCAGCACAGCTGTCACTTTTCCAGCAGGCAGTGTGGGAGGCGGGAGGCGGGTGTGGTGGGAGGGCCCGCAGCTTCCGTGGCTGAGAAGAGCCGGCGGCGGCCGTGTCTGTGGTGTCCGAGGCGGCTGCGAGAGCGACCGTTCCATCCTCCTCACCCCTTCGGCTCCGCTCGCCACAGCCCTCCGCTCGCGCAGACTTCTCCCCAGCTCCGTGCGCCCTGGCTAGACGTTGAGCCTCGGGAGGGGAAGAGCGCGGTGGGAGCCGGAGGGGGACCGCCGCCGAGCCCGGGCTGGGAGGAGCGCGAGGCGGTGAGTGAGAGTCCGGGCAGGGGACCCCTCCCCCACCAGCCCCGCCCCGAGCATCCTTTCTCCTGGCGACCCCGCCGCGCGCCCTCGGGGTTGGCCTGGGCGGGCCTCGCAGCCCGGCCCCCAACCCGCCGCTGGTCCCCTCGCCTCTCCCCTCCGGGCCAGGGTCGTCTAGCCAAGGCGGGCGGGGCGGGGCCGTGCACCTGTGAACCGCCTGGCCGGGCAGCGCGGGTCGGGGGTCCGGCACCTGCTGCACCCCGGGTGTGTTTTGACTGCAGGGACCCTCTGTCGCACGCTTTCCCCGGGATCTGTGCAGACCCTCAGGATCCATGTGCAGCCCCAGGATTCCCAGGCCAGGGAGGCTTACCTGGATTTGTTGATGCCTGTGTCAGCAACCTGAATGCCGCCAGGTGTAAGGGCCCTGGTGGATTTGAAACTTGACGGCCAAGAACTTTACCCTCTAAGAAAGTGTCTGGCAGGACGCTTTGATTACACCTCCCACCCTGGCCGGTGCCGGAAGAACGCATTGATACTCTGTCGTGGCTGGGGCTGGCGCTGGCGCTTTCAGGTCAGATTCTCGAACCTGCCGTTTCCTAGCTGTGTAATCTCGGGCTTCAGTTTCCTCATTAGGAAAAGGGGCATAATACCTATTACATGGGGTCGTTGTAAATTGAGAACGACTGGTGGATCAGTTTGTATTGAAGCACCAGCCCAGCTTGGCTTTGTCAGGATTTATCTTTTTTCTTGCTATTATAGAGCATAACGAACAGGCAGTTTGGCAGACACTTGACTCTTTACCAGCTGTATTTGGCATGAGGTATGTGTATACAGGAACGTGAAAGATGTCACTTAAATGTAATAATGAAATTACACCCAGCTTCATGTGTTTTTACATACTTTAAAATCCATGAGAAGTCCGAAGTGTGCAGGTTGCCAGCTTTTGAGATCTTTTCAAGATCTTTTCTACCTGATGTCAAAGCCTGTAACGTAATCGTTGTTTTCAATAAAAAGTTAAATTCACGTGTTTTAGGTTAGAGGACCCCCAAAACTCCAGATTTCACTTAAGCCGTTTTACTGTTGAAAAGCAGCCACCTCCCAGGAGTGAGGTGGTACAGCCAGCTGGCACAGAGCCCCATGACTACAGGGTGGGGAACCCTTGGCTGAAAGTGATTTAATGAAGTTTTGCCTAACGTCGTTTCCATTTTTCATAGTGAATCAAAGGGCTTTACGATAGTTTCTTAGTGAAACTAAACTAGAGGCAAACCGTTACTGCTTTTTTCGAAAACACATGCAAAAAAACACTGACTATAGTCCCTTCTAGCACTGCTTCACGTCTTTGCCAGCAACGGTTAAGAAGAGACCCTGTTTAGAAAGGCTTCCAAAAGTCATGTCTCTTTGGATAAGTTTTTTATTTAGAGTAAAATCATGAGATGGAAGAGTAATATGTATCCCGTAATCCAGAAGTATTTACTGCAGACTTTCCACATCCTTAAGTACCCTGCTGAGTGCTATGAGGAAGGCATTTAAAAGAAGTATGAAACAGCATCCCAGCCCATAAAGGGCAAAACCAGAAAGTTTGGAATCACTCAGTACTAATTTTGGGTACTACTTAAGTAATGACTTCATTCATTCATTCATTCATTCACTCATTCAGTAAACTTGTTCCTTGTCTGTAACGGGCCAGGTGTTTTTCTAAAAGCCAACATAATCGAGATAAGTGAGATATGGTCCCTGGTCATAGGAGCTCACAGTCTGGTGTGAGAGGCAGAAAGTGACAGTCGTAACACATTGAAATAAACTCCAGACTACATGTATAGGAGGGTCAAGAGAGCTTCTCTTTTGGACCTCAAAAAGGCATTTGGCATTTGGGCTGAATCTCAACTCACCAGATGAAGGAGAGGAAGATCATTCCAAGTAGCTGAGCTTGGAAAGATTTCCTGATGAATCTTCTGACTGGTATAGCCTAGTATAAGCTGTAGGGAAGGGGAAGGAAAGCGACATTTCTTGATGCTCACTATGTAATAGGCGTTAATAATGTTAGGCTTTTAATGTTATCACTCACTTCTCACAGCAACCCTATGAAGTAGATTTTACCTCCACTTTAAGATAGGAAAACTGAGGCTCAGTTAGTTAAATAATTTGTCTGAGGTTACACGGTTAGTGACAGAGCCTGGACTTGAATATCTTTCTTAAAAGTATGTGTGCTCTTTCCCTTTTCACACTCTGTAGAGATAAATATAAGTGAGATGAAAAGTTCCAGCTATATATGTTATTTTACTACATCAATTACAAATTACTTTCTGTAAAATAAATGTTCTTATTTGATTTAAAGTTTCTAAAACTTGTTTAACAAAAGCTATCAAATGGTAGTTATTTTATGTTTATAAGTGTGATGGCATTTGCTAAAAAGTGTGGTTCATGGAAACATTCGGTGGAAGACGTGACCTACAGATTCTGTATGGGGCACTTAACAAAGCTGTTAACCAGGTATAGACTTTTCTTGAGACTGTAGCTTACATATTTAAGTGTATAAAGAAAAGGATGTGCAGATGAGTGGCCAATTAAATAGACAATGAAAGGTAAAATAGTTTTGAATAATTTTTATGAAAGGGGAAATTAGAATTTTGAGGTCATATTAACATAGATTGTTATATTTAGAGAGACTACTATTGACTATAAGCTCCACAAAGGCAATTTGTATCTTTTATTCTCAGCTTCAGGAGCAATTCTTGGGACATAGTAGATGCTCAGTTAATATTTGTTGAATAAAAGATGAATGTAGACAAATATATACTTATAGTGTGTTTATGTAAATGCTAGGGTTGATAGTTAAAATTGACATAGGAACATTTTCATCTGTTGAGAAAAAACTTTGGTCAGGAGGTTATATTTCAGAAGGTCTTTGAAAGAAGAGGGAGGACATTGATAGATTACAGATGAAGTGGTATAGACATATAGGTAGTTTATAAACGGTTATACTTTGGAAGAAAAGGAACATTGAACAAAGGGAATGACCCACTGACACAATTCAAATATAGGCGATGTTTATTTCTTTATTTCTTTATTTTTAGAGAGAGCGCACCGCTCTGTCTAGGGAGAGGTGTAGAGGGAGAGATAGAATGTTAAGCAGACTCCATGTTCAGCATGGAGCCGGACATGGGGCTTGATCCCACGACCCTGGGATCATGACCTGAGCTGAAAATCAAGAGTCGGACACTAAACTGACTGGGCCACCCCAGCACCCCATAGGCACTGTTTATTTCTATGGCCTTAATGAGTTTTGAGAATCAGGGAAACAGTGTCTGCTCTTAAGGAAATTATAGTTTTAGAGACTAGGTATGTTAGGTATCTATTGTGTAATGTCTTACCCCCAAAGTTAGTGTTTAACAATAAACGTTCTTTCTCATAGTTTCTTTGAGTCAGGAATTTGGGAGCAGCTTGGGGAGTGGTTCAGGCTCAGGGTCTTTTCAGGAGATTGCATTAATAGGTCGTCTGGGGTTATAGTCATCTGAAGGCCTGACTGAAGCTGGTGGGTCCTCTTCTAAGGTGGCTACTCAGATTGCTGACAAGTTGGTGTAGGCTGTTGGTGGGAGATCTCAGCTCTTCTCCCTGTGGGCCTCTCCACAGAGCTACTTGAATGCCCTCATGGCATGGCATCTGGCTTCCCCCAGAGCAAGCAATCAGGAGACCAAGCTGCACTGTCTTTTATTTATTTATTTTTTATTTTTTTAATTGCACTGTCTTTTATGACCTAGCTTTAGAAGTCACATACTGTCATTTCTCCCGTTTTCTTTTGGTCACACATTGTGGGAAGGGATGACACATGGACATGAATACCAGGAGGTAAAGATCTTTAGGGGCCATCTTGGAGTCTGGCTACCTCATAGAACAGAAAAAGTGTTGGAAGAAGGTACAAAGTGCTGGGGGAGGGGAGGCAAGCATTCAGAGGAGGGAAAGATTTAATTCTTGTAACAGATTTTCAGAAATCTTAATTGGGTGCTCACTGTGTGCCTTCAACATGGTAGGCTAATATGTGGAAGTGGACACTGAATTAGGGCCATATGAAATGTAAGGAGTCTAGGCCGGCACTAAGGACAAACACTTCATCTCTGTGTGTAAATTGAGGGTGGAGTAATTTTTCTGATATTGAAGAGAACAGTAACTTGTCAGATTGATAGACAAGCATGGATAGACATCACAGTCTCGTGGCATAGATGCTGGAGCCAGACTTCCTGGGTTGCAATCCTGCCTCTACCACTTGCTGGTTGTGTGACCTTGGGTGTGTGACTGTAATACTCTTACGAAGTCTTCTTAGTAACTCACTAACTATAAAATGGGGATGATGATGGTGGCTGCTTTATATGGCTACTATAAAGATTAAACAAGTTAAACATATGCCAAGTCCTTGGCACAGCTTTTCATGCACCACCATCATCATCATCGTTAATTTTAGGCAGTAGCATAGAACTGACAATGGATGAATGAGGTTGGAGTCAGAGATGAATGAGTGTAGAATGATGTGAATGTTCAGATAGAAGCATTGAAATGTCAGTCATTGCTGCTCAGCGTCAGATTTTCCAGTTCAAGTACTTATGTTTACATGGTTTTTATTTCACAATTAGAGTTACACACAGTTACAACAGTACCTCTGGAGGTACCTCAGGAGGTGCACAGTTTGCCTGTTAGGGGTAACTTGTATTCTCATTGTCGGTCTTTGAATTACTGGGCCTTCTATCTGCAGAGTGGGTTTAGTCAGAAGCAGTACTTAGAGGTGCATATGCTTAAAAAGAGCTTAGAAGTGGAACCAGGACCCATAATAATAGCAGAGTGAGCACTTTTGTGACTGGGTCGCAGAAGAACCTGCAGAGATTCTTAATACTGTATCACTTCTTTGAAGAGGGGAGCTCATCGAACTCCATGTCTCTGTAGGTGCTAAAGCAGGAATTGGGTGATCTGCCAGGGTGCCTTGGGTGGAGCTAATTGCCTAAGTGGCCTTTAGTTCTGCGGTTCAGAGACTCCAGTCCAACTCTCATTGTTTAGTTGAACAGATGCACTGAGAAATTAAGTGGTTTGAGGTTCCACAAGAATCTCGTGGCTGAGCCTGGGCCAGTTCTTCACCCCGTGTTTAAGGCCGGCTCACATAGTCATAACAGAAGATCTGCAGAATCTTTGCAAGACTGAGCATTGTGAAAATTTCTTTTCTTCAGATACCATATTTTTAGTTTTGTGGTGTATCTGGTTCATTTGCTTCCCTAGTCACTTTCATTCATATGCTTTTAGAAATTATTCCTTAAGTGAGTGTTAGTTACAAGTAATGTGGATAGCTCAATTTGAAATCTGGGATGTATCCTCTTATAGGTGGGCTACTTACAGGTCTTTGACCTCTAAAATTGTAACTGGGAATTATGAGGGATTTTGATTTTTTTGAAAACCTTTTGTTCTGGTATCAAAATTTAAAGTATCAGAGTATCAGAGAGTAAAATAACTAGTGAAGTAACATGTCAAGTTTAAGGGCATGAACAGAGCTGGGTACTGACAATTATCAGCTTTGTAACCATAGGCTTACTA